TTTTTGAAAAACTTTAGAAATTTCGGATCTTTGATCCATAATCTCCCCCGTAGATAATCATCCCTCCTAAGTGGAGTTGAACTACTGACCTTGAACTTGAAAATTTTATCAAGACCATTAGGCCACCAACCACTTGATTCTCCAATCTCTTTTAAAAGAAATATTTTGTAAAACATGTTTTAATTAATAATTTTTAGTTACTAAAAAGATAAAAGGCTGAGACAAAAAAAGTGCAGATTTTATATTTTCGGCTAATATTTCCAACAGAAAATAAAAGTCAAAAAACCATACCTTNTAACGATGATAAAAATCAACGGCAATATCTCCATTATCCATATTAGTCCTCTCTGCAAAATTGTACCATGCATGCATGTTACTTAATTATTAGTTAACATTTTATATGACCAGAACTAATATTTCAGAATATATAAAATTTTCCAAGATATATTTGTGAATTGTAATTAATAGTTATATGATCATAAAATGTCGAAAATAATTAATATTGAAAAATATTCTAAAATACCACAAAACCTAATTTTTGTTTTTCGAAAGACCACGAACTTTAAGTTTAAATGCAGACCTGGATATGCATGCGTGAATGTGTCCCAAATGCTCGGTGTCCTCCCTCCTTCTTCAATTGCACCTTCATACTGCATCACATGAACGTATACTTATATTATTAATTAATATTGTGTCAAAATGGTTTAAGGAACACAATATTTCATTATAAAAAAACTAACCTGATAAGCTGCAGAAGCAACACCAAAAGTAAAATCAGGAGGAAAACTATAACGATCAAGTGGTTTTGTCGAAAATGGAAGAGATCTTCCCATTGAAGCATCCCATAAGGCTACAAAGAGTGTGATTACAAGTGCAAGCTTAATCGCCATTATTTTTCTCAGTCTATATTAAGCAAATTGATTGAATGAATACTTTAAATGTAACTAGCCTTAAAATGCTAATCGTATTTTGAGAAATGCTAATCGATGTGGAAGGGTTTATATAGAGAAAGGAGGCTAGGGCAGTACTGTAAGACTGAGAATAATCAAACTATTGAATTATATAATATATAGCATAAGGCGTTCCTTGACTAGTATTTGTTAAAAGTTGATCAAGCTTTTTGTTTAAGATAATTTCTTAATCGTTTTAGTTTTTGTTGCTTATGTAAGATGAAGTCCGTATTCGTAAAAAAACAGAAGTCTATTATAATCCGACTAATAGTAAAAGAGAG